AGCATTCCATATTCTAGACCAGCGACTAGCCAACTTCTTTTGAAAGGGGTCAGATTGTAATATTTTAGGCTTTGCAAGCCATACTATTTGTGTTGTGACTATTCAACTCTGCTTGCAGAGCAGGATCAGTCATAGACGATGGTGTAAAAGAATGAACCTGGTTGTTCCAATAAAACTTTATTTACAAAAGCAGGTGGTGGGCTGCATCTGGCCCTTGGACTGGAGTTCTAGAGCAGTGGTCTCATCTGAAGGGCGTGGTAGGTAATTTGCTACTGGTGGCTCCATCGTCCAGCACGGGTGTCTAGCAGGTGATTAACCTATGTCTTCACTTTCAGGCCCAATTTAAACCATTCCAGGCACCACCCAGTTTCTCAAAATCTCCCCCATTCATTTTACAATTCTCTCCACATTTATGCACGTTGGAAAATTTCTACAACAAAAAGTTAAAAGAGAAAGAAACCCTCCTCAGCATCTGGACCTACTGGGAAAGCGGATCGTGTCAACCCTGCCTTCTCTGAAAGATAAACCAGCTGGCACAGGCACAGGCACCAAGCCGGTGGGCCTGCACCAGGCGGCAGGCCAGGCCCTCCACGACGGCGTGGCTCTGCACCACAGCATGAAGAGAAGCATGGCAACATCGGAGTGGCCCTAAAATTAAAGGTGTTCATTGGGAGGACTATCTTCCGAGATTACGCTCTTCCTTGTTATTGTTGGTGGCGTCCAATGTCTTTTCTATTATAAAAGAATAATGATAGTAGGTGGAAATTTCTATGTCATTATTTGACAAAATTTAAAGTTGTCAACTCTAATTTTTTTTTTTCCTACTAGTTCCTAGTAGTTTACGAGGCTCTCAAGTCTGTGAGCCACTGTCCCGCTCTTTAGGTTTAAAAACTGACTTTCTCTCAGGCTTCTCTTCGCAACCAGCCTCACCCCTCCAAAACTCAACCTCCCACCTGAAGCATCCATGCGACCCTCCCCAGCCCTAAGGGCGAAGCTGAGATGGTCACAAGCTCAGGAGGCCTGTGTTGGGGGCAGGTGAGGGAATGCAGGTTGTGACAATACCTCACCTCACAGCCCGGGGCCCAACACAAGGCCTTTTAGTTCTAAAACAGATCTTTGAGGTGGGCAGGGCAGAAACACTCCCCCATTTAACAGATGAGGAAACTGAGAGGCGGAAAGGTGAAGAGACCTTTCCAGGGTCCCTGAGCGAATCAATGGCAAGGCTGAGAACTGTCTCCTCCACATCTTCCTCCCAACCCAGGGCGCTGAGATTATTCCTACCCTTATCTTAAACCTGGCCAACCAAAATGCCAACCACCCTTTTTCTGCAGAACTGATGAAGCATAATTTTCATGATGAGTCTTCTTTTTCTGTGGCCAGTTCAATTCAAAAAGTATTAAAGGTCTAGCCTGCTCAGAATTTTTTTTTTTTTTTTTTGGTGTTGTCAAGGATGGTGCCTGTTGTTAAAGAGTTCACACTCTAGTTGGTGAAAAAGACTATAACATTCTTTTCATTCTGCTTCTGAATTGCCCGTGGCCTGCTGCTACCAAGTGTGCAGAGGGCTGGAAGGTTCATATCTGGTCAGAAGGCCTGGGGGCAGACCTGAGAAGGACTCCACAGGTTCCCCTGTGGGGAGGGCACCAGGCCCTGAGTTTCTTTCCCCTCTCCCCGGAGGGGCTGAGCTGGTTGCTGTGGGCACTCCTGATCTCTCTCCATACAACACCCACGGTGGGTGCAACATAGGAGTGAATCAGATCCCAGACAACCCCGGGGGCTGCGGCAGAAGGGACGGGCCTTGATCTTGTCCCAGCACACATGTCCTCTGGTGATGTAACCAGGTGACAGGGGATGAACTCAATTGCTTCCAAGATAATTAATTTAGATCCAGACACAAAACCTCCTGGGAAATCAGCACATTAAAAAGGAGAAAGAGACTGGAATGGAAAAGTTTTTGGCTAGGTCTGAATCCTGAGAAGGGACTCAAGGGGATACCAAACCCACCCCATCCCCCCCAAAAAAGCCAAACCTGTTGCCATGGAGTTGATTCCGACTCACAGTGACCCTATAGGAGAAAGTAGAACTGCCCCATAGGGTTTCCAAGGAGTGGCTGGTGGATTCCAACTGCCAAGCTTTTGGTTAGCAGCCAAGCTCTTAACCACTGCGCCACCAGGGCTAAAGGGAATGGGGTTGGCGGGGGAAAGATCCCAAGTGAGAGGAATGTAATGTAGAAGGAAACTTTCTCTACTAGAAATTTGTGTGAATTGGGGAAAGCGAAAGGATTGGAGGAGGACAGGCAGCAGTAGTCGTGGTGTTTAAATTTGTTTAAAAAACAAAACCTGCATTACTGAGATACAGCTCATACGCCATATAAGTCACCTATTTAAACTGTATAACTCAATGGTTACCCAGAGTTGTACAACCACCACCACAGTCAATTTTGCAACATTTTTATCACTCCAAAAAGACACCCTGTTCTGCTTAACAGTCACTCTTTATTCCCCCCCTCAAACCTCCCATCTCCAACCCTAGGCAACCACTAATCTACTTTCTCTATGTATAGATTTTCTTGTTCCGGACACTTCATATAAATGGAATCATAGAATATGTGGCCTTTTGTGCCTGGCTTCTTTAACTCAGCAAAATGTTTTCAAAGTTCATCCATACTATAGCACGCATCAATACTTCATTCCTTTTTATGGCTGAGTAATATTCCATCATATGTATGTACAACATTTCTTTTATTCAGTTCATCAGCTGATGGACAGTTGAGTTGTTTCCACCTTTTGGCTATTATGGATAATGCTGCTATGAACATTCATGTACAAGTTTTGGGGGCACATATGTTTTTGTATCTCTTGGGTGTATAGCTAGGAGTGGAATTGCTGAGTCATAGTGTAACTCTATGATTAACCTTTTGAGGAACCACCAGACTGTTTTCCAAAGCAGCTGCACCATTTTATCTTCCCATCAGCAGTGTATGAGGTTCCAGTTTCTCCACATCCTCACCAACAAGTGTTACTATTTGTCTTTTTAATTATAGCCATCCTAGTGAGTGTGAAGTGGTTTCTCTTTATAGTTTTGATTTTTCCTGAAGGCCAGTGACATTGAACATCTTTTCATGTGCTTATTAGCCACTGTACATACTCTGTGGGGAAATGTGTATTCAGTTCCTTTGTCCATTTTTTAACTGGGTTGTTTGTCTTTTTATTATTAACCTTTAAGTGTTCTTCATATATCATAGATACAAGCCCCTAATCAGGTATAATGATTTGCAAATATTTTCTCCTATTCTGTGGGTTGTCTTTTTACTTTCTTGATGGTGTCCTTTGAAACACAAATGCTTTTAATTTTGATGAAGTCCAATTTCTTCTTTATTTTTTGGTTACTTGTGCTTTTGGTCTCATATTTAACAAGGCATTGCCTAATCCAAGGTCACAAAGATTTATGCCTACGTTTTCTTCTCAGATTTTTCCACTTTTAGTTCTTACATTTAGGTCTTCGATCCATTTTGAGTTAATTTCTGTGTCTAGTGAGAAGTAGGGGTCCAGCTTCATTCTTTTGCATGTGGATGCCCCATTGTCCAGCATCTTTTGTTGAAAAGACAAGTCTTTCCCTTTTGAATTATGTTGGCATGCTTGCCTAAAATCAATTGGCCATAAACGAGAGGGTTTATTTTTGGACTCGCAATTCCATTCTATTGATCTGTATGTCCATCCTTATGCCCGAACCACTCTGTCTTGATTACTATACCTTTGTAGTAAGCTTTGAAATTGGGGATTGTGAGTCCTCCAATTTTGTTCTTCTTTTTCAAGATTATTTTGGCTATTCTGGGTCCCTTACATTTTCATATGAATTTTAGAATCAGCTTGTCAGTTTCTGTAAAGAAGTCAGCTAAAATTTTGATAGGGATTGCACTGAATCTAAAGATTAATTTTGGGAGTATTGCCATCTGAACAATATTATTTTCCAATCCATGAACATGGGATATCTTTCCACTTATTTAGGTCTTCTTTCTTTCACTAACTTTCTGTAGTTCTCAGTGTGTATGTCTTGTATTTCTTTTGTTAAATTTATTTCAAATATTTTATTTTTTATGTTATTTAAATGGAATTGTTTACTTTCATTTTCAGGTTGTTCATTACAAATGTATAGAAATGCAATTTATTTTTATATATTGATATTATATCTATAAAGTCTTGGTGGCACAGTGGTTAAGAGTTTAGCTGCTAACCTAAAGGTCAGCAGTTGGAATCTACCAGCTGCTCCTTGGAAACCCTATGGGGCAGTTCTACTCTGTCCTACAGGGTCACTATGAATCGGAATTGACTCGATGGCAGTGGGATTGGTTTTTTGATTTGGTCTTATATCTGTAATCTTGCTAAACTTGTTTATTAGTTCTAACAGTTTTTTAGTGGATTCCTTTAGATCTTCTATATTCAAGATCATGTCTGTCATAGATTGAATTGTGTCCCCCCAAAATAGCTGTCAAATTGGCTAGGTCATGGTTCTCAGTATTATATGATTGCCTACCATTCTCTAGTCTGATGTGATTTCCCTATGTGTAGTATATTCTATCACTATGATGTACTAAGATGGATTAGGGGGAGTTATACTGATGAGGTCTACAAGATTAGATAGTGTCTTAAGCCAATCTCTTTTGAGATATAAAAGAGAGAAATGGGCAGAGAGACACGGGAACCTCACACCACCAAGAAAGCAGTGCTGGAAGCAGAGTGTGTTCTTTGGACCTGAGGTTCCTGCGCAGAGAAGCTCCTAGACCAAAGGAAAACTGATGACATGGACTTCCTCCAGAACTGACAGAGAAAGTCTTCCCCTGGAGCTGACACCGTGAATTTGGACTTGCAGCCTGCTAGACTGTGAGAGAATAAATTTCTCTTTGTTAAAGCCATCCACTTGTGGTATTTCTGTTAGAGCAGCACTAGGTGACTAAGACAATGTCATCTGCAAACAGAGAGAGTTTTACTTCTTCCTCTCCAATCTGGATGTCTTTTATTTCATTTTCTTGCCTAATTGCCCTAGTTAGTAGCACCCGTACAATACTGAATAGAAGTGACAAGGGCAGACACCCTTGATTTGTTTCTGATTTTAGGGGGGAAAGAATTCAGTCTCTCACCATGAAGTATGATGTTAGCTGTTGCTTCTGTAAGTTTTAAAAGTTCAGCTTAAAGCTAATAACATTATAAGACTTCCCTAAGTAGTTAAGAGGGGGCAAGCACACAGAATTTTTTGTATATGAAAATGAGCACAGATAGAAAAACGTAAGAAGAAAAAATTCACAGCTTTATTAAACGCCCTCAGCTCCACTGCCTCGGGATTATCCCACGTGCTCCATCCCATCTGGGAAGCACAAGGCCTGCTGGACCCTCCGCCTAGCTCTCTCAGAGCTCTCCGGGCTCATTAAGATGCAGTTGTTTTTGTTCCCAAACCTGCTTATACCAGTTGTACTTGTTTTTGTAATTATGCAATTTAAATTGTATGCAAACCATGAAATAGAAGCTCAAAAGGAGTTTGTTTCTATGATAACAGAGTTGCATGTGTGGGAAGATTCACTGTTGTATGAGGCCTGGACAGAATAACTATAACATTGAGGGGAGGTATCTGAAAATCTGCAAGTATTCTGCACTCAGTTTGATAGAAAGAGATACTGAAAATTCCAGAAGATGCACAAAATGTATGGATAATGCAAGAAAGATAACACGCAACATCAGACAGTGGACCCATAATCCAAGAAAGACCTTGGCCCCAAATCAAGAGACAGAGAAATGTATGCATGTTTCACATAAAAATAAAACGTTTCATGTTCAAGTAAAATATTCAAGGTGGGTCTATATCATTTTTATCATCCCTCTTTAATCTTTTTCAGTTAACCAACTCACTGCGGTGTTGATGGTAGTAGACAGAGGGCTTTCTTCTGAACACTAACCCAGAACAGAGGTCACTTGGGCAGCTGCAACAAGATGTCATTTTTTTGTGTGTCTCCTTCTTATCATTTGGTATTTTCAAAACATTCTAATGAGTATATATTACTTCTGTAGTAGAGAAAAAATATTATAAATTTTATTTTTCAAGATCCAGACTCCATTACTTCTTAGTGACAGTAGGAAGAAATTCAGAAATGCCACCCTATCGTGTCATGTATTGTTGCTGGAGCCAATAAAGTGACCCACTACTACGAAAGGGAATTAAGGGGGAAATATGCAAAAGGAACAACATGAAACTCAAGATCACTGGGATTCCCTGACTCAAGTCTATTGCTACTTTCATCAAGAGTTAGAAAACATTGGAGAAGATTCCTTAATTGGGTTGAAACTGAAGCGCTTTGGCTTAGCTGCTGTGTTTCGAAGGGCAGGCTTGCTTTTGGAGATAAGAAATGCTGCTATACCAAACAAGTTAGGGTAACATCATACCACACAAATCTGAATTTGCTGGGAGAAGGCCAAGTTCAGAGTATTTTTAAAGAAAAACAATGTTATGGCTTTCATGTATACAAAATAACTGGATTAAGAGGTCTGTGTCATTGAAACAAAATTCCTCCATAGCTGACATTTGATCTTGCTTTTACTTCTCAACTACGTTTGGTTTATTAAAAGAAAAGAAAAGAAAAGAAAAGAAAAACAGCTGTCATTGAGTCAATTCCAGCTCATGGCGAACTCGTATGTGTCAGAGTAGAACTGCGCTCCATAGGGTTTTCAGTGGCTGTGATGTTTTGGAAGTAGATTGCCAGGCCTTTCTTCCAAGGCAACTCTGGGTGGACTTGAACCTCCAATTTTTTAGTTAGCAGCCAAACACGTTAACCGTGTGCCAGGTTTATAGTAGGTATTTAATAACTAACTGAATGAATGAATGAATGAATGAATGAATTCATGCTAGCTTTAGAGTGACTTATCAGGATACTGGTCCTTCTCATGCAAAGCTGGGCTTTTGGAAGTTACTGAGACGTGTCTTAGGTTCTTCTATTGAAGTCCCTTCCTCCATTCTAACAATTACGTCTTCTTATGCTTGAAATATGGCTTGTGAAGCTGGGACACTGTCTGAATTAATGAGGACACAGAAGTGAAGAGCTTTGAAAGCTGAAATTTAAGTTGATTTGGCCCAAACTCTATGCCAGGCACCACAGTGGGTCCCAGGGATACAAAGGAGGCCTCGAGGAATTTCCAACCTTGCCCAGATGTGGAATAAACCACCACAGGGCCATAGAGATGATCCCGAGGTTTGTTTAAACCTGGAGGGCAGTAGGGGCAGGGAACAGGTGTGGATGGAAAAACAAGATCAAGTCCAATGACACAGACGTCTTAATCCAGGCAGAGATGGGCTTGAGGGAAGAGAAGGATGTGGTGTTTGGGACTAATACCCTCAAATCAGACCCTGGAGCCCCAGGGGACACTTCAAAAACAAGCGGTCATAGTAGTTGCCACTTTAAATCTGTTTTCCTCTCCATTTCAGCCCTACCTCGGTCCACATCCTGGGCTGCAGCTTGGGGGTGGTGACCATAATCGGGTGTTGGGAGGCGCATTTTACACGTATCATAGAATCATTGTGATCTAAGTCAGCCACCAGCTCCAGAGGGTGCTTTATAAACCTGAGGGCAGAACTGAGCCTCACTGCACTCAGAGGGCCTGAGAATGGTAACCAAGTGTTCTGATGGTGGTTCTGCTGGGCCTGGAGTGTGTTCTGAGAAGGGGGGGCTGGGTGGTTGAATGACCAAACCATGGAATGTAGAAGCCAGTAGTTCTGAAAGCAAGGCATCTCCGTGTGGACCTCAGAGCCCAGATACTCAGACACAGTCCCTCTTGTTGAGGTTGACCTGTAGGGACTCAGACACAGTCCCCTTTGTTGAGGTTGACCTGTACAGCAGGCTGAACTCATGTCACCAGCTTCTACCACCAGCCAGCAAGTAGGGGTGGTTGGAGATGTTTGAAAGTGAATTCCAGCAATGCGATATTTGGCTTATCTATGAGCACTCTGTTCCTTTGAGGATGAAAACAGTTTGCACCACTCTGCTAGAAAATATAAATCCCTTAGAAACTAGTTTGGCAAGTGGGTGGTGGGGGTGGTGGAGAGGGAGAGAAGAACAAATGTTTAGAGTCTAACGTCAGTCCTCCAGGTGGTCCTGACCTCAGTCAGAGGGAGAGAGAAGGCGGAGGGAGGGAGAGGGACAGTGTCTTTGAGTATGCGTCTAGGGGGAGGGGGTGCTGGGGAGCCACACTAGAGATGGAAAACAAAGGCGGTAGAAGGGAGGAGAGAAAAGCGATAAAATACCATTTCTCATTTTTATACTGTTACATTGAAAACACAGACATTTAGTTCTGCTTGATGTCAGTGCCTGCCCCTTTGAACACCCTTTGTGCACCTACTCAGCACAAATAAGTACCACCCCCAGGGCTGCGGTTCTCAGCGTGGTTGCCCAGTTGCCCCAACTGGGGGAAACTCTTAACCAGTTACTTACTGACTGGCTCATGACTTAAACCACAGACCCCCTCAAGGGTATCTGGAGGTCTGTTTTAAATGTCTCTAGAAGACAGAACTGTCTCCCAATTCAATGAGGAATAAAGCCATAAAGAGTTAGTATTTGAGGATAAGGGATGCCTCCTTTGAGACCCTAAATCCCAGTCCTGGACAAGGCATCCGACCTGTTTATGGGGTTGGGGACCCCTTCTACCTCTGCCCGATTGTAAGAGCGAGGGCTTCTCCCACTTCATCCCCGGAGCTTCCTGGCATCTCTGCTGGGGCCTGGACACCTTGTCCATGGCACTGCTCAGAAAGAGGACCAGGGAGGGAGACCAGCAATGTGTCCCCCCGTGTCCACCCGGCACCACCAGTCACCTCCCATGGCCCCCCACCCAAAGAAGGGCACAAACACTCATGCCTGCCAGGGAAGCTGTCAGTCCCTGCTCTGAGCCTACGTGCACACACACACACACACACACACACACACGCACACACACCCTTGGGAGCACACACTCACGCACACGATTCAGACATGCACACAGACTCACTTCCATTTGTTTCCACAATCTTCTCTCATGGTTTGGATACACAGACCATCTGTGTGCTCCAGCTTCTTAGGAAATCTTCCAGAATACAGCAAAATGTTCTCAGTGGTTGTCCTTTGGGGGGCTGGGGGGTGTCACACATTAACTTGTTTTCTAGTTTCTTTATATTTTCAAATTTTTCTACAATATGCATTGCATTTATATTCAGAAAAAATTATACAATTTTTAAAAAGTCTTCCTAAGACTGAAATAACAGCATCCTAGTAGAACTCACTCATACAGCAATCTCATTTCGATCCACACAATAGCACTGTGTTGTATTACCTCCAGTTTGCAAATGAATAAACCAAGAATAAGAGAACTGGAGCAATCTGCCCTAGGCCACTTAGCCAAGTGGCCGAAATGGAGAGGACAATTGCTCCACTCCCTTCCCTGGTGTTTCTGTAAGGTAGCAGAGAGAGAATGTGTGTGCATACAAGGAGGAGAGAAAGAAGAACCGTGGCTGTGTGGCGTGTGAGAAGCCTGTCTTACTCATTTGATTATAAAATATTTCTGAGCCACCAGATGGTATAATAGCGGCTGCAGATGCCCTGATAGCGTTTCTTCATTTCTTTACACAGGGTTCCATTTCAGGAGCCTAGGGAGTGATATCCAAGAAGCCATTCTGGAGTTGCATAAAGACAATAACTGTACAGTTCAAGACTAACACCATTCAGTGCCCCCACCTAGCAGATGTGCATTCGTTATTTCTTCCCCAAAGAGCATGGCTTCATTTCATCCTGAGGCACCTGGCGGCATGTGAGCCAGGAACCTCTAGGGCCCCCTTCCCCACGTGGCAGCATGCCCCAGGTGGTGCTGGGATCTGGGCTCTGTTACATAATAGATCCTGGGCTCCGAGGCGCAGCGCACCCGTTACCGCTGGCTCCCCCGTAATAATGGACTCTGCAGAAAGAGGCATGAAAGGCGACATCCTCTCGAGATCAAAGATGCAGGGTTGATAAGTTCACCCGGCACTCGAAGTCTTCTGCTGGGCTCGTTATGTCTTTTTTGTTGTGTTTTTAAGATGGGAATCTTCATCCCTGGTCCTTCAGCAGCTCAATAACCTAGTTAAAAAGCAACAGGTTCAGGGGTGGTGGCAGGACGCGGCTATACAGCCTCTCTTTGCTGTGTTGGGTCTAAAACAGCACTTCAAAGAACTAGTTTTGCTAATGTTTTCAATCACCCAGAGAGAAGTGCTGCTCTCGGTGGTGGCACAACCCTGCCTGAGGCTGGCTCAGGAGCTACTTGCTGCAGAAGCATGTGCCACTCTGCCACGTATTCAGCCTCGTGCCAGAACGGCCACGAGAGGAGCAGAACCTGCAGGCTGACCCTGCTTCCCTCTCTGCCTCTCTACCTCCACCCCGCAGTCCACCCTCAAAACTCGTGCGCAAAAGAGAATGGAAGAAGGACTTTATTTGCCATCGCTGGGCCGATCTAGGGGCCCGTTGGCTAGAACGTGTTTTGTTTCTCGTCTTCCAATTTAGTTTTAGCCTGGTTCCAGCCCAATCTTTTCGACCAGCATCAGCCACACTCAATGCCACGTCTGCAGGCAAAGACAGTCACAGCTTGCAAACACCCTCTGGTTTTCCATTCACCAGAGGCCCCACCTGAAGCCACTCCCTGCTCTGAAAATGTTACAGACTTCAAGAAACCTCCAAGTTCAGAAGCAAAAGAAAGGAAGACCCTGGGAACACCAGGAAGTCTGTGGATGCATAACTGAGCGGGCACACCAGCCAGTCTGGTGGCCACCATCCAAATCCCTTGCCCCTAAGGAGTCATCCTGCGAGGCATACGGTGCTATCAGTCTTTCACACACAAGTATGAATTACTACCAGGTTGTTCATCTTGCCCCTAGAAAAGAGCCAACACTCTGAGAGGCCAGGCCCTCTTACTGGAGGGTCAGGGAAAGGGGAAATAAGTAATTTTGACTGTAGTGTATTTTAGGGGCATGGTACAGGCCTCCATGGGGTGCTCAAGTGGGTGCCTTAAAAAAAAAACATTGCTGTCGAGTTGACCCTATGGTGCAGAGTAGAATTGCCCCATAGAGTTTCAAGGAGCACCTGGTGGATTTGAACTGCTGACCTTTTTCTAGCAGCCGTAGCACTTAACCACTACACCACCAGGGTTTCCAAAGTGGGTGCCTTAGGGAAGAACAAAGTCTTTGGCAGGATGGGGCACGCTGGGGCTAAGGGAGTACAAAGTGGGAGGAAAAGGAGCCAAAGTTTCCCTTGTCTTAAAATTCTGCCACCACCTGACCCCAACCTTAGTTGAGGAGAAGGACCAGTCTTCCTCCTCCGCCCTGCTATCCCATACAGGTTCCCTGCTCCTCATCAGAGCCTACGACAGAACATAACCACTGAGGCGATTTTGGCCACATCCCATATCCTTAAAGTGAACTCCTAGGGGAAACTGGGCCTCAAGTCTCAAACTGACTTTAGTTGAAGTTCACCGGTCTCAGCTATGAAAATGTCCGTGTTCTAAGTGTTTGAAACGCAACGCCTCTATAAACCGGGATTTTAAACCATTTTAAACCTCAGCAGCCCGTCAGTTCACAGATACAAAAAAAACCAACCCATTGCCATCAAGTCAATTGCGACTCATAGCAATCCTATAGGACAGAGTAGCACTGCTCTATAGGGTTTCCAAGGCTGTACTCTTTGTGGAAGCAGACTGCCACATCTTTCTCCCACAGAGCAGCAGGTGGGTTCAAACTGCTGACCTTCCAGTTAGCAGGCAAGCACTTTAACCACTGATCCAGCTGGGTTCCTCAGCCCACAGATAGGCAAGGGTTTTTAAACTGCAGGAGACAACATGGAAGTCCTCTCTGGGCTTGCCTCTCATGGCCTAGCATTCCCAAAATGGGTGAGAGAAGACCCGTGTGGCCCTTTGTGTGGGAAGGATACTTTATGACTTACCCAGGAGGGTCAGTTAAATACTTAACAACCCAAATGGCACAGGTGCTGGCTTCCTGTGCCAGCTGGCATTAGCCTAATCATGAGGAGTCCTAGGGTTCTGGAGAAGGGGCCAGAGGGCTATTTACCAAGCAATATGAAGTTCTTTTAATATTCTGACAACATAGGGCCATGCCAGTGCATACCAGCTGAACATTAGTGCCACTTGCCCCACATGGCAGGTGGTCAGAGCTCCTCTACAGCTGTAGCGGACTGGCCAGCGTCCATGGAGCAAGGTGCTGGAGCCAGCCTCCAGAAGACATGCCCACAGACCACCCTGCAAGGAGGACACTTCCACCTTACAAGACAGAAGCTGAGCCTCAGGCCCGCCCAGGACAAAGGGTGAGAGCTGTCCATCGCCAAAGCCCATACTTCTGCTGCATTTCTTGGCCAGGCCTCGGCTTGAGCACCTGCCAGTCCCTAAGAGGCTTGGGGGAGGGAAGGGAGAGATGCAAACAGGCCACTTGCATGCCACAGCCTTGGACTCAGGCCATGGGGACAGACGGACAAAGAGAATCCTCAAAGGCTGTGGTCAGAACATCCTGGCCAATCTCTGGAGGGTAGCCGGCCCGGCCCGGGAACAGATTGTGCCTCTCCTTGCCCGGAAGTCAGGAAAGAGAAAGAAAGGAGTTAAACACCACAGCTGAAACATTTTACCTGGCTCTTTACAAGCCATCTGCCTTTGCATATGCTGTTCCTTATGCCTGGAATACACTCACCCCAATTTCTTCTCAGGCCAAAAGGCGATGGGCATTCTTGAAAACCCAGGGCAACCTCCCTCTCTCCCTGGGAGGCTTCTCCTAACGCCTCCCCCAGGCTAGGTTAGTCAGTCCCTCCTGTGCTCTCAGAGCGTGTCCCAATGGTCTGTGTTATTTATGTGCACACCCCTCCCCCCTCCCATCCCAATCAGGCTGAGAGCTAGAGGCTAGGGATGGCCAGGACCGCCTGGTCCCCCACACAGAAGGCAGGGTCCCCTCACAGAGAATGTCCCATGCCCCTGGGGTCTCCCCAGTGCTCACAACTGTCTGGTCCCCCACACAGAAGGCAGGGCCCCCTCACAGAGAATGTCCCATGCCCCTGGAGTTGTACAACACAGGGCCCCATCCTACTGCTCCTTCAATGCTGAGCTAACGGTTATTTACCAGCAAGGAGAATCTGTTCAAAATTTTACTAACTCCCAATCTAAATGAAACCAACTGAAACTTTAAAAATAAAGGACCTGAGTCCCTGGATGATGCAAAGGGTAAAGACTCTCAGCTACTAACTGAAAGGCTGGAGGTTCGAGTCCCCCCAGAGGTGCCTCAGAAGAAAGGCCTGGTGATCAACTTCTGAAAAATCAGCCACTAAAAACCCTATGGAGGACAGTTCTACTCAGACACACACAGGGTCGCCATGAGCCAGAGCCGACTCGAGGGCAACTGGTTAACAAATTTTAAACTCCTGGATATTTTCAAAATCAGGCAGGCATTACCTTTAAGACAATCACACCCTTCAGAAAGAGCTGGGCCCGTGCCAACATCTGCTCCCTACCCCCGTCTCTCAGGTAATTTTATAGTAAAGCTGGAGCAGCAATGGGAATATCATCCCAATTTTATAAAAAGCAAACAACAGCCCTGGTATAAATCCAAAAATGGCTCCCAATTATGTTTCTGAAGTCTTTAGGCAGTTTCCCTACAACGAGGAGAGAGTTTCTGCTTAAAGACCCTGTTACAAATCGAACTGTGTCCCCAGAAAGCTATGCTGAAGTCCTAAGCCTGGCACCTGTGAACGTGGCCTTGTTTGCAAACAAGGTCTTTGAAGATGTTCTCAGTTCAGCAGACATGAGGTCATCCGGGAGAAGGCTGGGTCCTAATCCTTTGTGACTGGCGCTCTTATAAAAGAAGAGACGCAGACAAGAGGGAGGACAGCCACGTGAAGATCCGTGTACAAGCCAAAGAACACCTGGAGCTTCCGTAAGCTGGGAGAGACGAGAAAGGCTCTTCCCCAGAGACTTTGGAGAGAGCTGGCCAGGGCCCAGCTGGCATCGATTTGGATTCCCAGCTTCCAGAAGTGTGAGACAATAAGTGTCTGTTCTTTAAAGCCACCCACTTTGTGGTACTTTGTTCTGGCTGCTCTAGGAAGCGGGCACAGACCCCAATCTCTTGTTGCCCCGGAAGCCCACACCTCCTCAGTCATCACTGAGCCTGGTGACAGAGAAGCCGACAGCACCATTGTAGTTAAGGTTCTGTCACAATTTCCATGATAAATCTAGATCCTTGGGTATTCAACCTAGGCATTAAGAAAAACTGCCCAGGGCAGCCAGTTTAAAGAGTAACTCCACCGAAAACTGGCCTCCAGATGCATTACACGGAGCTTTATTTAGTGGACCATCACATTTAATTTATTCCAAGTTTATCACACATTCAACACAGAATCTAGAATTTATAACAGATGTTCTGTGAGGAGGAACAAAATTGGGACGATTTAGCCCAGAGAAGAGAAGTCTGAGGGTTAATTTAATTACATCGTCATGATGATAAGAGCTCTTTCATAGCCAGAGGGAAGTAAACAAGACAGGGACGCAGGTCAAAAGAGGAGAGGAACCAGCTCCAGGGATCTGAGCCAGCTAGAGGGACAGGGTTACAACAGACTGCAGGAGACCCTGGAGGCCGGAGAGTTTCTTCTCAACCACTCCTTAAAGAGAAGACAAAATCTTAAGGGAACTGTCCTTCCCCCAGCATCTGAAGTTGAGAGTATAAAAGCAAAGCTTTGAGAGAACCAAGCTTGGGGATGGAATCCCAGCTCTGCCACTCACAGATTATGTGAGCCTGGGCAAGTTCAGTCACTCCGAGCCTCCATTTCCTTCGTGCAAACAGGGATACCGCCTGCCTCCGGGGAGGTTCTCACGGCCATGTACAAGTAACTTCTCAAAGTCACCTATTATAAATGACGTCCTTAGTTAGCCAGCTGTTGCTGTGAGCTGCCATAGAGTCGGCCCCAACTCATGGTGACCCCATGCACAACAGAACAAACAGGGCCCAGTCCTATGCCATCCCCATGATTGGACCATAGGGATCCAGAGGGTTTTCGTTGGCTGATTTTCAGGAGTAGATCTCCAGGCCTTTTCGCCCCGTTCATCTTACTCTGGAAGCTCTGCTGAAACCTGTTCAGCATCATGGCAACATGCAACACGCAAAACAGGTGGGGGCTGCGCACGAGGTACATTGGCCGGAATCAAAGCCAGGTCTCCGGCGTGGAAGGAGAGAATTCTACTTCCATGGTCCCCACGTTATATAGCAGTGCTCATTAAATTTAGTTCACTTCTCCTGTGTGCATTTACCATATTTTTAGTCATCTGACATTAAAGGCACATTAAGAACGAAAACATCCTCTGCCAGTCCCTGGAAAACATTACCCTTATAAGATCACGGGGCAGTTTTTAGGCCTTATGATATAATGGCTATGCTTCCTTGGGCAGAGCACTCTAGAGCACCACTCTGAGAAGCACCAATAATAATAAAGGAAGCACTAAAATCCTTTCCAGGTGAGGAAACTGGGGCTTAGAGAGGTTAAGTAACTTACCCACAGCCACACAGCCAGTTAAGGGGCTAAGCTTCACATTCAGGTCTACATCTTACTTCTATGCATTCCGGGAGGCGAGTGAGAAAGTGGTGCACATGTACACACACCCTCATTTGAGTCCTACATTTTTGAAGGGTCACAAAATAAGAACCAAGGTGATGCCACATCCCCACAGATTTTATCACACCGAAATAATCGAGTGAAAGAACTTCCTCCCAACATCAGGAAGCTCAGAGTAACCAAGAATCACCTGCCTTTAGGGAGAAGGGAGATGTCTTTCGTTTTTAACCCCCAACACCTCCCCACTACCAGCAAGCCCAGCTCTGCTGGGATAGGGAGAGGCCAAGGTGGGTGAGGCGGGGAGAATGCCAGCAATGGCTGGGCGGACGTAGGAGCCTCAGGCCCTCAGCAGCTCTGGCAGGAGAGAACCTGTGCTAAGGAAACCCCAGGAGGCCCGCAGAGCCCGTGGGGCCTCTGTTTCGCCAGCTTGGTTGCTAAGCCCCACCATGCATGAGTGCAGCAAGCAGACTCTGGCTCTGGTTGGGTAATCTTCCATGTGCCACGCTTCAATTTCCCGGTCTGTGAAACAGGGATAACAGCGCATACCTCATAAGATTGTTGGCTTTTAAACATTTCATGGTAAAAAAAATTTAAACATACACAAAACAGAGAAACTAGTATGATGAATGATGGGTACTCCTCTCCCAGCTTCAAAATGCCCAACTGGGTCATATCTTGTTTCGTCAGCACCCTCGCTCACTGCCCTCAACCCCGGTGGTTTGCTGGTAGACAAACCCCAGACATCCCATCACTCCATTTCTAATTATTTTGGTATGTCTTAGGATTGTTTTAAGAATTAGATGAGATAGTACAAGTTAAGCACTTAGATACCAGTAGCTGGCAGGTAGTAAGTACTCAGTAAACATTAGCTTGTATTGTTGGAGTCCCTGGGTGGTGCAAATACTTAACATGCTAAGCTGCTGACCTAAGGGTTGGAGGTTCGAGACTACTGTCTTAGTCATCTAGTGCTGCTATAACAGAAATACCACAAGTGGATGGCTTTAACAAAGAGAAGTTTATTCTCTCACAGTCCAGTAAGCTACAAGTCCAAATTCAGGGCATCAGCTCTAAGGGAATGCTTTCTCTGTTGGCTCTGGAGGAAGGTCTGTGTCATCAATCTTCCCTTGGTCTGGGAGCTTCTCTGCACAGGAACCTCATGTCCAAAGGACGTGCTCTGTTCCCGGCACTGCTTTTTTGATGGGATGAGGTTCCCTTGTGTCTCTGCTCACTTCTCTCTTTTATATCTCAAAAGAGATTGGCTTAAGACACTATCCAATCTTGTATACATCATCAGTATAACTGCCGCTAATCTATCTTATGACATCATAGTGATAGAGTTTACAGCACGTAAGGAAATCACATCAGATTACAAAATGGTACACAATCATACAATACTGGGAATCATGACCCAGCCAAGTTGACAGGTATTTTGGGGGGACACAATTCAATCCATAACAACCACTCAGAGGTGCCTCGGAAGAAAAGGCTGTTGATTAACTTCCAAACACTCAGCCCTTGAAAACTATATGGAGCACAGCTCTACTCTAGCACACGTGGGATTGCCATGAATCGGAATCGACTCGATGGCAAATGGTTTGTATTCTTTGTTACTATTAAATGAAGGAGCAAACATTACCACTTTAGCTACCAACCGCTGCAGGCTGACTGCTGCCTCTGCTACCATGTGGGTCTCTGTTTTCTCCTCTGCCAAGTGGAGACAAAGCCACTTGCCTTAGCCACTTCATGGGTATGCTTCGAGGCTCTACTGAACGCACTCTCTGAACCATACCATGTGAACACGTGGTGGCAAGGGGCCTTGCTGAGCCAACTCGCGGGTGCATAGGTTGGCCCCGGAGGTCAAGATCACATCTTATCTTCTTCCTACGTACATGGTGCTCAACAGCTGGACAAAGACCACAGCTACCATCCCGTGAGCAGCTGCTAGTGCTAAGCGATGCACACAGATCATCTCAGTGAGTCTTCACTCCAACCCTACAGAGCAGGAATTATCTCCACTTTACAGATGGGAAAACTGAGGCTCAAAGAGATTAAGCAATCTATTTTTTTTAAATCACACAACAAATATTGAGGCCTGTATGACTCCAAAGCTCACATTCCATCCCCTTACGGTGTCTCCCAATAATCTGTCAAAATATGGTCCGTTTGCATATTTGTTTTGTTTTTAATGTGTACAATTCAGTGGTTCTTAGAATATTCACAAGGTTGTACAAGCATCACCACTATCTAATTTTCATCACCCCAAAAGAAACCTCGTATCCATTAGCCGTCACTTCACACTCCCCCTGTCCCATCCCCTGGCAACAACTAATCGACTTTCTGTCTCTATGGATTTGCCTGCTCTGGACATTTCACATCTATGGAATCACACGTGTGGGCTTTTGTGTCTGGCTTCTTTCACTTAGCATAGTGCTTTCAAAAGTTCATCCATACTGTAGCATGTATCAGGACTTTATTCCTTTTTATGGCTGAATACTATTCCATTGTATGGGTCCACGACATTTTGTTTATCTGTTCATCAGTTGATAGACATTTGAGGTGTTTCCACTTTCTGGCTATGTGAATAATGTTGCTATGAACATTCATGGACAAGTTTTGTGTGGGCATACGTTTTCATTTCTCTTGGTTGTATACCTAAGAGTGGAACTGCTAGGTTATACAGTAATTCATGGTAATTCTATGATTAACTTTTTGAAGACCTGCCAGACTGTTCCCCAAAGCTGCTGCACCATTTTATATTCCCACCAGCAATGTATGAGGGTTCCAATTTCTCCAGTCTCCCCAACACTTGCTATTGCCCATCTTTTGATTATAGCCTCCTTAGTGGGGGTGTGACCATTTAGATTTATTAAAAAAATAAAACCAAACCTGTTGCTGTCGAGTAGATTCTGACTCATAGCAATCCTATAGGACAGAGTAGAACTAACCCCACAGGGTTTCCAAGGAGCAGCTGGTGGATTCGAACTGCTGACCTTTTGGTTAGCAGCCTAGTTCTTAACCACTGTGCCACCAGGGCTCCACTTATATTTATGTGTACTTATAACTATACTTTTGTGAAGTAGATGGGGAAGAATACCATCATCACCCTTTCACAGATGAATAAATTGTGGGCTCAGAGAAAACGAATAACCTAACCTTATATAAGGCGATAGTCTTGTTATCACACTCTTGAAGAAATAAAAACACAAGGGGCTATTCCTAGCTGAGTTTCTCCTCTGGTCAAGAAACTAGATACTTGAAAGTTCCACTAGGGACCTCGGTAGGAGTCACACCATTTAATCTGGACCCAGAACGGAGAGCTGTAGCATCACTGTGCGGTTTACATGTTCACATACTTACAGCACTCTAACAAAAATCACTTAGACCAGTCTACCTGTTCTAAAACTCGCCACTCCCAGAAAAGAGTCACGCTCCTTAATGAACAACCACGTCTCTTCAGTTCTGCCAACTAACAAGATTTATGACGCTCCCTTGACTTTTTCTAAAAATAGCAAATCCGCTTCTCAAGTCCAAAGACAGTCAGCGATACCTTAATACAGATTAAGCCAATGTAGCTGTGGCCGCTCGCCCTCAGAGAGCAAGCTCCAGACCTCTGCCAGGGATGCTGCAGGTGGGTCCTGAGGACAGGGCCTGTGCTCCGTGCTTCACCAAAGAATCTGCAATAGTCTCTCAGCACGTTTGAAAATGGAGCGTGAGAGCAGGGAGGGAAAGGGAGGAGCAAAGCGGCTAGGGGGAAGGTATTTTAGTCACAGCCTCCAAAGGCCAGAGTGGAAGAGAAAGAGCCCAGGAGTGATCAGGAGTCAGGGTGCTCTGGACTTAAGTCCCAACTCTCTTTATTATCAGCTGTGCAACCCTGAGCAAATTTCTCAACCTTTCTGAGCCTCAGGTTTGCTGTCTGTAAAACAGTGGTAAAATACCTACAGCTCCAAACTTCACCAGGTAGCCATGAGAAGTAAACAAAATATGAAAACTACAAAGAAAATAAAACCAGTTGCCATCAAGTCAGTCCAATCATGGAAACTTCATGTGTGTCGGAGTAGAACTGTGCTCCATAGGGTTTTCAATAGCTGATTTTTTCAGAAGTAGATTGCCAGGCCTTTCTTCTGAGGCACCTCTGGGTAGATTTGAACATCAACCTTTCTGTTAGCAGCCGAGCACACCAACTGCTTGCACCACCCAGGGATTATAAAAATGGTAAGGTGTTATAATCATGAGGAGGGGGGATAGTTCCATGTAATAGTAGTTTTTTTCCCTTTAAAAATGGTCATCAGGGCTAATAATCACTTATAATTTCACAGCAAGTATGCAATAAAACGGTTAAAACTTAGCTAAAGTAATAAGCAGTAAAAGCTTTATAGATGAGCGTATCCCTAAGCAATTCTCCTTCTAAGAATTTATTCTAAGGCATAATCACACAAATGTGTTTGTGTGCGTGTGTATGTGTGTGTGGTGGGGGAGACATAGGTACAGGGACGGTCATCACAGCATGCAGTCAGTTGTATTGCTCAACATACTCACTGTCCCTTCCTCTAGAAGGCTTATACTTCCTACCTCTCTGACATCAGACCTGGCCATGTGATCTGCTGTAGCCAATGAAATGTGAGGAGAACTGACAAGGGATACACATCAGTTCCTACTTCTGAGCAGAAGCTTTAGGAAGCACCTTGTGGTTCTACCATCTTTCTTCCCCTCTGCCATGAGACCAGCAGTGTCTCAGACGGGGCTGTCAGCTTGGGTCCCAGAGGGATGATGGCACAGAGCGGGGCCACAGTCAACAGGCGGTGGTCAGGTAACCCGAGCGAGAAAGAAACCTTTGTTGTCGCAAACCACTGAGATTTCAGGGTCATTTGTTACCAGAGCATAATGTAGCCTAAGGTGACACACAGCCACGTTCCTATTAATGTAAAACTGCAAACAACATAAATGTCTAGCTAAATAAGTTACGGTGTATATATATCCACAATGGAATGCCCGTAAAGTGATGTATATGTTGGCATAAAAAAAAACATTCTCAATAAGCTATTAACTGGAGGAAAAAAAAAAAAGCAGAGTATAATACAGTATTGCTGACAATGGATTAGTACCCAGAATATAAAAATATCTACAAATCAGTAAGAAAAAGATACTCCTCCCAAAAGGAAATTGGGCAAAGGATATGACCATGCAATTCACAGAAGGGGAAACCAGAACGGGCAGTAGATATATTAAATATGTTCAACCTCACTCCAGTACAGATTAAAACAACCATGAGATACTATTGTACACCCATCCGAATGTTAAAATTTTAAAGTCTGATAAAAGTGCTGGAGAGGATGTGGGGGGAAAAGGAACTCTCCTACCCTTGTAAGGGAGAGTGCCACAAGCACCTTGGAGAGCAATTTAGTAACATATAGTAATGCTGACCATAAGCAATTCTATTGCTAGATATTCTAGATATCTACTCTACAGGAAGTTTCAAGGTGTGATTGTATTAGTTGTTTACTGCTGCATAACAAATATCCTCCAAAACTTAACAGCTTAAAACACTTATTATCTCATGGTTTCTTTTAGTCAAGAACCTGAGTACAGCTTAGCTGGGTGCCTCTGGCTCAAGGTCTCTGATGAGGTTCCCATTAGGCTATCGCCAGGGCTGTGGTCTCATCTGAAAGCTCAGCTGGGATAGGAGGGTGGAGTCCTGTTTCCAAGCCCACTCACATGCCTGTTGGCAGGATTCAGTCCCTCTCCACGTGGATCTCTTTACAGGGCTGTCTCACAACATGGACAAGTGATCCAAGAGAGACTGCCTGAGATAGGAGCCACAGTCTTTTTTTTTTTTTAATTTCCAAAATGTATTTTTAATGAGTTATTGGTGTAGGTTTTATTTATGTGAGAAAATGGCCTTAACTTCCAGTCTCTCTCAAGAAATCACAGCTATGGACTAGCTAAACCCTGGCCTTTTCCTCTCAAATTGGTTATATTGTTGACTGTTGTCTTATTATTATAGAGGCTGTAGACAATGAAAGAATGAGTCTCA